AAAAATATTAATTATAAAATAAGTTTTTAGGCAAATCTTAGAAAAATTAAGAAGACCACCTATATTACATTAATTTTTGACAAAAAGTATTTTCGAAGTTGTGTTTACAAAATTTTTTTGAAATATCTATTTAAAAACTTATTTTTAATTAATATTTTTAACAATCAATTGTTGAATTAAAAATTTTATTAACAAAAATCATGTACCTTAATTTTTAAATTATTTTAATACCTCTAATTGTTTTTATTGAATTAAAAAAATGTAATATTATTAAATATAAATCAATAAATAAATATAATTTTTTATTAAAATGTTATAAATATTATATTAATATAAAAATTAATATATAATATAAATAAAATATTTAATTTAATCATTAATTTTTTAAATAAATCTTCTTAATGAATTTTTTTTAAAGAAAAAAACGACCTACATATCCTACACAATCTTTTTAATTTTATATGGCGCTGACACTTTCTATCGAAGAGTTCCATAAATCTTGGTCGCCGTCCACGCTTAGACATCTTTAACAAAAGCAGTGGGTTCCTCTTGTAGAATTTCTCTATCAAAAGGCCCGCACCATGCTTCTTCTGCGTCATTGCATAGCAACGTGTGTGGTAATTAGCACTTAGACACCTTTAACGATAGCCGTCGGCTCCTCTTGTAGATTTTTTCCATCAAAAGGTGCCATAAGTCTTGGTTGTCGTCAATGGTTACTGTGCCCGTGCTTCTTCTGCGTAATTGCATAGCAATTTGTGTGTGGTCATTTTGAGATGCTTGCATAAAGTAAGTTGGATGTTTATACACGGTTTCAAAAGGCCACAATGACTTTGAATTTTTCTTCCAGTTATAACCTCTAATGTTAAATATGATTGTAACTTACAATTATTTATGATATTTTATTAAGGAAGTAATTGTATCCAGCTAATTTTGGGCCCCATAAGAAAAAAGAGCAGGAAGACTTTGAATGATAACTAAATTAAAGTTGCTTAGAATTATATACATTTTTTAAATTAAAATTTTTGAATTTGATGTATTAGTCCTGGTCGTAGTTGGCATGTCATGTCAGTATTAATTGGTATCTTTGAAAAACCGCCTCTCTTGTAAGAGTGAGGCCATGACTTGACCTCCTCTGTCTCACAATCTGCAATGGACCCTTTTGTCGATTTTTTCTCGCCAAAAGGAATCCTTAGTGTACGACAATTTGTCCCAGGTAACTTCTGCGTTATTTCCTGCCTTTCCATTTTGTGTGGTAAGATGCGTCGTAACGAAAGTTAAATGAGATTCATACACGGTCCCAAATTAACCCCAAGCCAAGGACAATAACAATGCACCTTTTCCACGCCACATTTCTTTCAAAATGTTATTTTTGTCATCAATATCTTCAAATGTAACGTGGCCTCCACTCTCAATAATAGCTATATCTACTGTTTGAAAAGAAAATGCAGCTATAATTATAGAGAGAAATTTCTTATCCATACCACCGAAATATGAGACTCACATAGCAGATTTTTTTTTCCCCCCCCCATCGAAGTATAATACATGTGACACACATGCTAGATTGTTTCTACCTAACATTCTCCAACTCACTCACAAAGCAGATCAACATCAATTTAGTATTACTATTACTGTTGTAATTTTCTAGTTCTTTTGCATTTTTCATGCCTCCAAAGTTGCACTCAGAATATTTGTGGGCTGTAAAGCCTGTCTGTTCCACTTATTAATCCACTTACAGGCTCCCCAATCTTCGATTTGGGCACAACCTAACAGTTTTCTTTTTTAAAGAAAATCAAGAACGGCCCAACACACTAGAGGTGGACTTTAGGTTGGACCAATAAAATGGACATCTAAGGCCTCAGGCCCATACATAGACTAGCCTTCTTTGCAGCATTCGATCATCGTGAAGATAAAATGGAGGATCAAATCCGATGACGATTATATTTAGAAATTCGACTCTCCTAACCCTAGGCCCTAGCATATCTGGTCTTCACAGTTCAGGTGGATTACTGATTAGTGAGCCCAATTGAAATTCAACCTTCCGCATTGATCCTAGTGTCTACCGCTATTTATGATCTGATCTTTCAAACTAAGGAACTCCTTAATATTGTTTCTAGTAACTGCTCCATCTTACTTTGTGGTTTGATATAATAATTTAAAATTAACAGTTAAAAGTTAGAAACTAACAATCACTGGATACAAATGGCATTAACGACAGGACAAGGATAAGGTCAGCCGCCAATCCGCCATCTAATTAGCTACAGCAGTTTGGAGAAAAGAGAATTACTCTGGAACTACCAAGCTCAATTGAAATTTGTCCTTCCGCATTCGGCTTTGGGTCTACTGCTATTTATAATCTAATCTTTTAAACTACTCGTTAATATTTTTCCCAGTAACTGATCAATCTTAATCTAAATCACTTGAGGAGCATATTACTAATACTTTACTAATTAAAGTTTCAATGTTGTTTAATATCTATTTTATGAAAATAAAAAT